GCCCAGGGTTCAATTCCCTGTTGAGCCCAACGGTGTACATTTTTTTTTCTCAATTCCCAATCAATTTTCAATATTTAAACACATTTGTTTCACATCAATAATGAAAATAATATGTATGTTGCGATTTAAATTGTATTTATTTCAAGAAAATTGACAAAAACAAACCAGATGACACAGATACTGATCATTTTTTATTCAAGAAGTACGGAAAGGTTTGGGACTACGAATGTGATTCTTTTTATTATATTATATTAGGTGCTCTTTCAAATAATACAAACATCTAAAAGGATTTGGTCAAATTGTTGAACTTTGGACACCAATGGTGACTCACTACCTTAGTTATTATCAAGAGAGTAGACTCTCTGCAATGCCAGCAATGAGTGTCGGAAAAATCGGGTATAAATTGGATGGACGTGGTTTCGATGAATTGCGATATGTTGTATAATCACACCAATTGGTAATGAATTGTTCCATCATCGATGAACGGCGCTGTAGAATGTCTTGACACAAACTTTCCATGAAATTATAAACGCGTGTTATCATAACGTGTGTTGTTCGCATTTTCATCGGATGTTATAGTATCAATCGGTTTGCCTCTGTAGCCTATTTCACCAAATGTATTCATGAAAAGTTTTCATGAGATTTTCTTCTCAAGTTTTTTTGGTCAAACAACACACACGAAAAAAACCTTCGAATTGTATAAAGAAATACGTCTAATATATGCCGTTAGTAGGTTTCCTTCCAATATTCCCATGTATTGACAGGAATCCTACCAAACAACACATATACGCACATACAGTCATTGGCGCATACACAAACGTCATAGATGAGTTGACGTTTGTGTATGCGCCAATGACTGTACATGCGTATGTGTGTTGTTTAGTAGGATTCCTGTCATTATATGGGAATATTGGATGGAAATCTACTAACGTCATATTTTAGACGTATTTCTTTGTTTGATTCAAAGGTTTTTTTCGTGTGTGAAATATATCTAAATGTAGCAATGAGAAAATCTCAATAAAAACGTGAAAGTATTCTCATTTTTTGACATTATTTTGAGCGCCAACTTGAAATTTCGAGATTTTTTCTCAAAAATGTGGGATCGCATCATGGTTGGCTCAAAAATAAATGAAAATTTAAAATTTTCGCTCAAAATAATGTCAAAAAAATGAGGATATTTTTACGTTTCTATTGAGATTTTCTCATTGCTACATTTAGATACATTTGTTTCACCGAAAAAACTTGAGAAGAAAATCTCATGAAAACTTTTCATGAAAACATTTGGTGAAATAGGCTGCTGGTTTCGTCCAGAATGAAAAATATAAACAGCGCAACTTAGAAGCTGTTGACGGCAAAGATGATCATGCATCCTTCGAGTGAAATCTCGTCGATCAGTATTGGAAAGAGTTTTTGACATGCAAATGCCGTTATATTGGATATAAGAGCTCCAAATGTAATGCCAGGCTCTCGAATTCAGGGTAAATTATGATCGTATCGTTGGAATGAACAGAAAATCAAGAATGAAAAAATTAAATGTTCATACCTTGGCATGAAAGAGCAGATAGTGAAATGATGCCAGCGGAAATAATGAACACACAACCATACCTCGAGCATGCTTTTGTATCTTTGCCAAAAATGGTTCTGTACTAAGCCAAACAAAATACTGGAACCCATGAAAATGCAGATAAATCGTATCCACTTTTGTTCATAATATAAATAGGTCAATAAGACAGTATGACCAACGGTACAACCCAGCAATGGGCTGATTACTAACGTCTTTCGACCCAATAGTTCTGAAAACGCTGTAGTACACAAATTCCCAACAAGCAACATTACTGCAATGACTATTGAGGATTGGGATTGATTCAATGTTGTGCCAGCTATTCCAGGAATGTAGACAGCATACGAAGTAATCGTGCCTTATCCGGTGAGGATTGCAAAGTACATCAGAGCAGCACCAATTATCAATCCTTTCAATCCTTTCCAGTTTGACCAACAGTTTCAATGCGACAGTCATTATACACTCACTAAAATCGGTGATTTGATACTTTTGATCTGTGTTATGCTCTTCAGGAATCGGTTTGAGTCATTCGAATTCGGCGTTGAATGCGTCAATTTCCTTGGGATCCCCTTTAAATCCCTTGAAATACCTTAGCGATTTTTTCGCTTCCTATTTTCATGGCGACCACATTTTCGGTGTCATTAGCATAAAAATTCGAAACCAATAAAAATGATCAAAACTCTTACTTCAATGCGACCACGACGAAGGCAATACTGTGGCGTATTTGGTATGAATGCGAAACAAGCCACATAAATCAGTGGAATGGCAATAAAGATACACGGAACATACTCATAGTCAACTAAAGCACCCACAATGTAACCGCTCAAAATACCACCATTGATTAAGAGTGTGATTATTGAGCTCAATCTTTCTCGAATGCTATAATTTTAACCAAAAATTCAAGTTTAATCTGTAGATAATATAAATTTCAATTGGTTTGATAAACACACAAAATACGAACGCATACAATCCCGCACAAGAGTGTAGTGAGAATTGTTTGCTATGTAGAATTTGTATGGACCGCACACATTCGCTATGTAAATGTTGTGCTCGGACAAAGCACTACATTTGTGTAGCAAATGTATACGGTCCATACAAATTCTACATAGCAAACAATTCTCACTACACTCTTGTGCGGGATTGTATGCGTTCGTATTTTGAGTAAATGAAGGTTACTTTAGAGAGAGAAAACAAAACAAAAACTATGCTTAAACCATCCCGAAAAATAGGTCACAATTTGTGAACAAATCAAATATTTACTCATCGTTGGCAATTTCCGAAATGTACAAAACGATTGTAGCTTGACTTCCGCCGCCTGTCCATCCAGCACAAATTTTTGCAATCAAAAGGTGATAATATGAGTTCCCAAAATAGATGAGTATCCAGAATGCGGCAGCAACTCCCAACAAAGTCTCAACAGCAACTAAGTCTATTATTTATCAGCTCTCTAAACATGCGTTTAACTTTGTCAAATTATTTATTCACTATAAATTGCGTTAAATCAAATATTTGTTTGGAGACGTGTGGCGCATGTTTTGGCGGCTGAGCGATATAAATACAAATAGCCATATTATCATGCTTCGTTTGCGTTCGGTTTACAGCTTGTATAACTCGCTTAGTTATCGTATTTGTCTTTGTTAAATTCAGTTCGACATAAAGCATTCGCATAAATGACACAACAGCAAAGTGCCAAATCAGCTGATCGTTCATCGAACACCTTTCACTTTTTGTGTGCTTTGGTTTTTTGAAAATTATGCACATTTTTCGGAGTTGGTGCGTTTGGCAGTGTATTTGGAGCATTGATCGATAACCGGCTCAATGGTCTAGTGGTATGATTCTCGCTTTGGGTGCGAGAGGCCCAGGGTTCAATTCCCTGTTGAGCCCAACGGTGCACTTTTTTTTCTCAATTCCTAATCAATTTCCAGTTTGTTAAAAGTATTTGTTACATATTGAACTACTCTCTCCCTGTCTTTGATTCCATTCTGACTACCACGTTTCATTCAAACCAAAAAAATGACGATAAAAATGTACTTAATTTTCTTTTTCAAATATTTATTAAATATAAAAGTATCGACAATTGTTAACTATGAATTTCACTTTCTTTTTACTTCTCTTTACACCATTCGTCTTCCTGGCGAACCTTTTCTCGTTCTTCCGGCGTTAAATCGTCCCCAATGTCGAAATGCTCACGGATTTCCTTGGGTGATTTTCCCTTGATCATGTTTGCAACCGTTTTGCATGCCGCAGCCATCAATCTTTTGGTGTCCAAGTAGTTGGCGGCCACAATGATCTCAAACAAAGTGCTTTGGTCGACCATCAGAAAATCAGCGTCCCACGATGAAATTTCGTCGGTGCATTTTTCCTTCGTTTTATCATCGTCGGTTGGAATTGGATCGTCTTTGTGGTGGTTGGCCCATTGCAAAAAGCATTTCAAAATGCTGGAGCTAACACTGGGCAACGGTATAATGGCTTCTTCGCCATCATCGTCCAGGCAACAATCTTCTAACATGGTTTTGATGGTGGCGGAGCACTTGGCAACTTCTACATCGGTTTCGAAGAACTCGCCGTCGGATGATTGCAACTTAATGATCGCCATCTGGATGGGCACAAAAATTGACACATTCAATATGTTTAAAAAAATGTTGAGAAAATGTTGTTATTCTCATCAAACCAGAGTACCATCAATAATTTTGTCGTACTTACTTTTGTAAATAGTTTCGTTGAACGTTGACCAAGGAAAATAAAACTGTTTTAAATTGGTTTTTTTAAAGACTTTCGGCTGGATTCGGCTGATTGCTTGTTACTGTTGCAAAGAACACAGTCAGAATGATGAAAAGTTGGAATGATCACGGTGTTTTTATCCTGTTTCGTCAGTACTGACCATATGTTTAGTATTGTCCGATGGATACAAAAGTGCACTAATTACCCTCATTAGGACTGATACCATTCTTTACCACGAAATGCACAGATAGATCCATTGGTATATAGATAGTATTGCCAATACTGTATTGGTTGAAAAAAAAAACATATTTACGGCGTTTCCTTTGGACAACACTAATTGCTTTTAGTTTCTGTTAACGACGTTTTGTTGGTTAGAGCCAAGGAAATGAACGAAAAAAAATCAAAAACGCCGCAGAGATATTGTTCAAGTCAATCAAAGTGGAATTGTCATTCAATTACTCTTTAATTGATCCTTATCAAGTCGTTTGCTAGATTAATGACCTTCTTCAACATACTCCATGAACTATTTCATTTAAAACATTGTATGAAATGAATAAAGTCACTTTGAAGGACTCAAACATCAACTGAGCGTCCGCATATGTTAAAATGATTCAATTGTTGCATTTTCATTTGACATGTTTTTGATTGCAATCAATAAAAAATTGGAAATATGGAAAGAAAACTCCTTATTCGGGTGTGAAAAGTGATTTTTATTTGCGAATATTTTCGTGAAGACACCTTCACATCATCAGGCTCTCAACAAAACTGAACAAAAATATTAAATACAACAAAATTGTGTCAATCAAGGCAAGTCGATTTGAAAAAAATTCAAACGATTAGAGAAAAAACCAAATGCTGACAATGAAATGACTAAACAGACGACGTTGATGTTTCAAAGTCTATTTGCCCATTCATTGAGAGACAACTTTCGTTCTATGTATGAAGATTTTCTCATACGCTGTTAAAAGCGGTTCGTTACGAACATTTTTTCGAAGACGAAAACCAGCAAAAGAGTGATTTAAATCGATCATGTGGTCGGCTAGTGTTGATAAATGCCCTCTTTTTTGATGACATGGACTAAAAATCAAGCAAACTTTTTTCAACTGTCAGAAATGACTTTTAATTCGTCTCATTTGTCGCATTTTTCAGTCAAAAATTGAGAATAGGATCTTCTCTTCCAAAAAGTATTTGTTCCATTTTAAAGCTGAACTTGAAGCAAATATATTTCTTTACTGTGCATATATGCACTGACAAAATATATGAGTTTTGAAAGAAAAAATCGTTATCCAATGACTTCGCTCGACATCAGGTTACTTGAAATGTTGAAGTTTACTTTGACATAAAAACATTCACAAACACTTGAATATATTATGCGGCAGCAAAGTGCCAAATCAGCTAATGGTTTATCAAACACTCTTGCTTAGCCTGCCTTTCACTTTGTGTGCTTTTGTTTTTTGGAAATTAGGCCAAATATTTTGAGTCGAACGCACCGGCAGTTTTTTGAAGCAATAATTGATAACCGGCTCAATGGTCTAGTGGTATGATTCTCGCTTTGGGTGCGAGAGGTCCAGGGTTCAATTCCCTGTTGAGCCCAACGGTGTACATTTTTTTTCCAACATTTCTTTTTTTTCACTTCGAAGTGTGGGATTGTGTGAGAATTCACATAGTTTTCGTATCTATTATCAATTGTTATGGAGAAATTTTTTTTATTCTTCAAAAAAAAAATGCATGGATAATGAGGTATAGGACCAAACAATGCAATTTATTGGATTTACATTATTTTTCACCATGGATAAAATACTGTATTCTAATTTCAAAGAGAAATTCATAAACATTGTTGAAAATGGTTTGGACAAGAACCAAATCTGAAAATAAAATTTGATATTTTCGTCACTCGAATCAACGCTTGCTTTATTTTGTTTGTTTTAATTTCGAAATGTGTCGAAATTCGACTCGAATTCAACGATGTGAAAGAAGTTTTTTTCGATGTGAAAGAAGTATTGCTCAAAAACTGCGCTTAGTAGCAACTACACACAAAATACAACAACAATAATAGTAATATATACCGCTTGTAAGTGTGTGTGCTAAACAGTGTATTGAAAATGAATCAACATCGGACTGGAGTTGATCAACATCGTAGTGGAGTTGTGTTTTAAGCATAAAAATCCAAAAAAAATTTATTCAAAAAGTCTTTTTCATTAACTTTTCATGAAATTCATTGAAAAATCGTCTTTAGATTGATGAAAATAAATTTTCCTATAAAAATTCACTTAAAAACCTTTTTCTTCTTTTCAATTCCAATCGTTGTGTACTAAAAGAGATTCAACCGCCAATTCGACCGTAACACCAAAGCGTTCAACAAAACTGAACGTTTCGTTTTAGTACTGCCAACGGTTTGACGTTTCTGACAGAAGCAGCGAGTGACACATCCAACATTTTTTTTCTCGTTCGTTCAGCTTGGCATTAATATTGCGAGTATAAGTCACATTACCTGCCTCACAGTGCAAAGTCGAAATCAGTTTTCTTAGAAATTCAATAGAGAAATGGCGTCAATGTTGAGCCGCGGTGCACTTTTAGCAGAATGTTTAGTCAAAAACTCAACGCCAAAGGTAAATTGCATCGAAAAATTATGGAATTCGTGCAAAGGTCAATGGGAACGGAGTGAAAAAAAGAGAAGAAGTTGGTTGTCATGTGTCATGAATAAAAAACTCACTCCCTATTGATCCAAAGTGCACTAATTTTATTCAATTAAGCAAAAAAAAAGAGTTCTAATCAAAGTGTTGCGTCGTAATAAAATGTTCCGTGAATTATGCAATTTTCAACGGGGAAAAAGTGAATTCTATTCAATTTTCATGGTGTTATGCATATGCAAGAGAGCAGAAAAAAAGTCAAAACAAAAGATGCATAGGCAAAGTGTTACGTAAACAGCATGACATATCTTCGCTTATCCATTTTTCAAAGGCCTGTGCTGTCACTACTATAGTTGTTGTAGTTCGTGTATATTTCGGTTCACGGTATTTTTTTTTTGGGTTAAACGCGAGTGAGATGTGTGTCACGATCAGCTGGTGTCAATATCGTTGTGCGAAATATAAATAGAATAAAACATTGATTGCCATTGCTTTGCCATTAAACGAAAACTTATGTGATTTTTTCGTTTCTAGGTTTTGGGGGCTGCACTACAAAGACGTAATCTCAACGTTCAAGAGCACATCTCGTACTCACTTTTAAATGAAGCTGGCATTCCTACTCCCAAGTAAAATTTATTTTTGATTTATTGATTTCTCGTGAAGATTGGATTTTGATGGGAATTTTATTGAATTTTTTTTTTCTCACTTTTTTTAGGTTCGGTGTTGCAACATCAACACAAGAGGCCAAAAAAATTGCCACCGATTTGCAAACCGAAAATTTGGTATTGAAAGCACAAGTTTTGGCCGGTGGTCGTGGTAAAGGTACATTCAAGAATGGATTCAAAGGCGGTGTTCGATTGGTTTTCTCACCAGAAGAGGCCGAACAAATTGCCGGTAAAATGATCAACCAAACTTTGGTTACCAAACAAACCGGCGCCGGCGGACGCATTTGCAATAAAGTCATGGTCGCCGAACGCAAATTCCCACGACGAGAATTCTACATGGCTGTCATGATGGAAAGAGCCTTTAATGTGAGTTTTACTTTTTTTATGGTTGATTTGGTTTGGTTTCGATGCTTCGTCGCATGGTTGTATGCATATCACGGCACCATGATGTATATGAAAATTCAGTGTCTGATTTTTTGGATCGCGATGCACATGATTTCTGTGATGTGAGAGTATGCATCTATATTGCTGTGTGATAATATCACACTGTGATATGTGCAATGGATATGTGTTTCACATCCAACGGGATATACATATCCATTTGAACAGGTTCAGTTGTGTTGTACTCACATATTTTTTAAGGATTGACAATGTTATAATTTTTCCATGTAAATTACCTCACACGGTTTACCTATAAAAAAAAAACCTTACACTCACCTAGTTTGTCTGTAACCAACCTATTTCCCCTTTTAAAAAAATTATGAAAAAAATTGTTGTCATAAAATTAAAAACAAAAAGAAGCAACAAATATGACGATTATGCGCAATGTTTATTGTGCATTGAATCAACAAAGAAACCATCGTCCACTGAAACAAACCAAATCACTCTATCGCTAACATTGTACTGTGATGAATTGATTATGATTCGGAAATTTTCTAATTTACAATTTTTTTTTCGTTAAAATTCAAGTTAATTATTCAATTTTTTTCATAATTTTCTCAATGTATCAATTCACACTTGATTTATTTCCCTATTGAAACTATTAGGGTCCCGTCATTATTGCATCATCACAAGGTGGTGTCAACATTGAAGAAGTAGCCGCCGAAAACCCCGATGCCATTCTCTATGAACCAATTGATATCGTTCAAGGTTTGACTAAGGAACAAGCAGTCAAAGTGGCCGAAAAACTCGGTTTGGGCAATGTTTCCGAACTCATTTCCAAGACACTCTTGAACATGTATGACCTCTTCGTTAAGAAGGATGCACTCTTGATCGAAATTAACCCATACGCCGAAGATGCATTCGATACATCCAAATGTAAGTGTCGAATGGGGTTTTCTTTTAGTTGAATATTTTCATTAGAATTTTTTTGTTCATATCTATTTCAACAATTTTTTACAAAATTTGATTTTAATTTTTTTCTATTTTATTCTTATTCTGAGTCAGAATTTCTGATACAAAAAATATGAATTAATTTTATTTCTCACATTTGGTTCTCAACAATTTGTTCCCGAAATTGATTTTTTAGTTACTTTTGAAGCGGTCTACCAATATTTATGAGCAAATCGAATTTTTCTTAAGAAGAAAAATCACTCTTCAGATTGAAACAAAAAAATTTTTTTACGATATTAAAAAAAATTGGTTAAAACAAAATTTTCAGAATATAATAAGAAGAAATTCGATTTTTACCACAATTTTTTTTTCAACTGACAAGTTATTTGATTTCCGGCTTTTTGATCATATAACATTTTTGAACAATTAACGGAAATTATTTTCTTTTCTTTTCCTCAAAAAATTGCTGTGCAAAATTCAAATATCTTTTACATCGGATTTTGTATTCTAAAATAGGTTTAATTAAATTTTTCATCGTTTTTAAATTAACTATTTATCAGAATTAATTAATTTAAATCAATTAATTAATTTAAATCACTCTGAATTCAAATACCAGCTTTTTATTGTGATTTTATTTAAATGCCAACATTTTTTTCAAAGAGAATTTTCATTACAAAGGGAATACATATTATTTTTCGCAAAAACATAGAAAATTGAGTAAAAATGCTTTAAAAAAAATCACATAAAAAATCCTAAAAATTCAAAGAGAGATCGAAAAAAAATTCTAATTTTTTTCTCCATACTTTTTTTTCCAGACTTTGCTTTGGATGCAAAGTTGCGATTTGATGACACTGCTGAATATCGGCAAAAGGAATTGTTTAAACTTCGTGATTACAGTCAGGAAGACCAGAAAGAAGTGGCTGCAACGAAATTCGATTTGAACTACATTGCCTTGGATGGAGCCATTGGTAAAGAAACATCATTTCAATTTTCTTTTTCATTTTTCCAATTTCGAATTTTGCAATTTTCCTAATCCGAATCGATTGTTCCCTAGGTTGTTTGGTGAATGGTGCTGGTTTGGCGATGGCAACAATGGATATCATCAAGTTGCACGGTGGTGATCCAGCCAATTTCTTGGACGTTGGTGGTGGTGCAACAACCGAGGCCATCAAAGAAGCGTTTAAAATTATCACCGCTGATCCAAAAGTGAATTCCATTTTGGTAAACATTTTCGGTGGCATTATGCGATGCGATGTCATTGCCGAGGGTATTATCCAGGCGACAAAAGAGCTCAATCTCAAAACACCAATTGTCGTCCGATTGTTGGGCACCAAAGTCGAAGAGGCCAAACAGCTGATCAAAGATTCAAAATTGCGAATTTTGCCACGTGACGATTTGGACGAAGCTGCCAGTTTGGCCGTCTATTTGGCTGATATCGTCAAATTGGCCCGTGAAGCTAAATTAGACGTGAATTTCGAAATTGCCGAATTTAATAACTAAACACAAGAACATAAACCACTTCCTAGCTATGTGCTATCAGCTTAAATGTTATCCATAGCCGTTGGCATTCTCCAATTTTGGAGAGCATACGTATTAAATATATATGTAACACGATAAGAACTATTTAACTATCAACTATTAAACAAACAAAAAAAAACAAACGATCTACAATGCGCCTCTCTTTATCAACGATCGATAAAAAATGGCATTTTTTGGTTGTGTTTTTTTCTCATTTTTTCCTCTTTATCTTTCTCATCTGTATTTATTTCAGCAGTCTTTTTTGCGCACAATGCTTCTCATTGCACCCACAAAATCTTATTGTTGTTGTTGTAAATTTGACAGGAATGTCATGACAAATTTTTGTCATTGATTCGATTTAGATAAATATACATCGGATTTTAATCACAGCAAAATTGAGCTTGGTTTTTTTTTCTTCAAAATTACAGGGGGCATTTCTAGAACTGAGCGAAGATGAAAAAAAAAACGAAGAAGTATCCAAAATGTGTTTTATTCAAGGAGTAATTTGACAATATAAGGCTTATTTCTATTTGATGATAATTTGATGACGACGATTGATGATGATTGTTAGAGTAGTATTAGATCATTTGTCCGTTCAGAGATTATGAATTGTTACATGAAATCCAATTACATGCTTCAATCTACTTTATTTCGACTAAACTAAAGGTAGTGTACCCGTTTTGAATATTTAGTTTTCAACACATTTTCAGGACTACAAAATTTCACTTTCCATGCTTCTGCCAGTTTCTCACGGTCCTCTTTCATATTCCCATTCGTACGATGAGTCCAGCTTCAATTGAACATGACTGAAGTCCAAATCACCATTGTTGGTTGCCCCATTTCGTCTTTAAGAGTGAACTCTCCGTGATGTAAATCGTCACTTTATGTGCTCCAAACATGTTTGGGAACATTTTTTTCCGTTTTTCATTCAATTTTTTGAGATTAATACAACAATTGAGGTTATCTTTTATTTTAAAATTTTTTAACTTTGATGATTGACGAATAAACGGCATAATATCATCGACAAACGAAATTCTATAATTACCGCCATGGTCAACGTAGAGTCATTCAAATTTCGTGAGACATTTCACAATGATGTCCATGTTTGTCCAATAACGTGGTCGTCCTAAAATGGCCAACTCGGTCAGATTGGTCACAAGTGATAACTGTTCATATGGAAATTCACGTTCTCTTGTCCAAGCATTCTCCAGAACATATTCGTTACATAGACGATCGAGACCTTGCACCGAAGCTAATCGTTTAGAATGTATTCGCTCGTTGAATGTATAAACAAACGCGTGAAGAAACTATGGACAATGGACATGCAATTCATTGAGCAAATCATAAAGAATCGAGCCCTCTAGATGCGAGAAAAGTTTTATTTCCAGAACATTAAATTGGGCTTTCGATTCCAAAATGACGCGTTTATTATCCACCAGGATTTGTGATTCCAACGTAAATTTCCCAATGGTTGGGTTTCGATTTAAGAATGTTAGCAATCATTAAATCGTTCGCTTTTTTGTTGCTTAATTTTACGCGATCAAAGGAAATGTGCTTCACCGATTCAAATTCATCGATTCGAAAGGAATCGCTGTAGGAAATGGAAGTCATGTACATGCCCGACATGTAATTATTACCAATGGAATTTTCAATTGCGGAATAGTTTTGCTTGAAAAGATAAATACTCGAATATTTCATTGAAACAATCGACATTCAGCTTGAAAATTTTCGCTGCTGGTTCTTCATTCGATGGACCAGCGATTCCGTTTTGATCTGCATTTTGATGCTTTTCATCATGTGTCAGTGCTTGCCTTTTGCTATTTGTATCACTCATCTTTGTGTGTGCTCTTCGTGTTCAATGGCAAGTTTCCTTCAGACCTATCAACAAAACGAACGAAATAATAAAAATAATCTATTTAAAAATACCCCAAAAAAAGAGTATTGGTTACTGCTAGATTATAATCCATACTCAATGCTAGGCGGAAAATAAAATGATGGAAAAATAGAAAATAATGTGAAACACAAATGCTGCGATGCGTGCTTCAATGTTGTTTTGTTGATATTCATATGACTAAACACCAATCCGTATGAATGTTTGACATTTGACACTTCTTGTTATCCGATTGGAAACTGGTTGCATACTGCTGGTTGCTAGCTGTTTTCATCGTTTCTTTTTTTGAATCAATTGGTATGAAAATAATATTTGAAGAAGTGTTCCTATCAAATTGTTTGAAAAGTTTCATTTTGAATTCTTACAATATGAAAATTGATTCTTTGAAAGTGTTTGCTTTACAGAAACCCTAAAAAAATCAAATAATAAAATCCAATTTAAAACTGCAAGAGTCGTTTTTTACTATCGAAAAAATCTCCAAATTCACATTAGTTGCTGGATCAATTGCCTTGCTTTTTTCATATGACTACTTAGTTGAAGTCGCTTCGCCTTTTGCTGTTGTTGAAGCATCATGTTGTATCCGTTTCTGATACCCGCCCTATCTCGTGCTCTTCCGTTAGAATTATTTTTATACATTCCGTATTACATTGCTGTAAAAGACAAAAGACGTTATTAGCAATTATTCCAAGATCAAGTTTGGAAATTCCAATTGTAGCTCATTTTGCGATATCAACTCGGTTGAACTTTGTTATATTCCCATGTGCAAATGATATGACAAACAGTCACTCAGTTGAATGTAGCGACAAACAACTGGCTAAGTTTATGGATTTTAAAAATTGTGTATGGAAACAATTACGTTTAACTATTCCCTCAGCCAGACGACTAATTTCGGTCATTTAAAGTGAACAAAAACTGTCTAGTGACCATGATTGAAGTTGTCCACAGTCAAATTTTTTGTTCGTGATAATCTTTTCAGTCAATCGACACCCAGCCAAAATGTGCAAAATAATCAACTCAAAAATATTTTTACAAGGGATGGTGGACCTTGAAAATTATCATTATTAGTCGCATCCTTGTTCCAAAGCATAAATTGAGATAAAAGTTATTATCACACTTTCACACTAGCTCGTATTTTTGCCCCTCCTTATTCAGTCCGTCCTCAAACTTCTTTCATTCGAATTTTGGTTCATTTCAATTGAAGAAGCGAATTTTGATAGAAACAAGTTGTTGTATTTCAATTCAAAATGAAATTAAGTGTAATTTTTACCCTTTTTCTACTCGTAGTCGGTATGTGCACATGATGATTACTCCCATTGGCAATTCGAAGTTTTCAAACCAAATGCGCATTTAAAAAAAAAACTTGAAAATATTCAAAAACGTTTTTTCAAAAAGAATAATTTTCGAAAATTTGTCATTGTAGTGCCCAGTTTCGGTCAAGTGTACGAACCAAAACAAAAGGTCACCAAAAAGTATTATCTGATGACAATCAATGCGGTAAGAAAGAAAAACTTCGAACTCACAAGTAATTTTCTGCAAGTATTTGGCCCACCATTTTCTTAAAAAAATTGCTAAAAAATTTCTTTCTAAAAGCAGAAAAATTGTATTATAGACAAATTGGTTCAAAGCATTTCAACATTGTCGCTATCTTGGCATGCAATTGGTTAGTATTTCATCTCAAGAGGAAAATGATCGAATCGTAAAGCAAATTCAAGACGAAGGTAACACTTGTTTGAACAACGAGGAATGTTGGACTTGATTTTCGTTCTAATTGAACGCCACGGTTTTTCTTTTGCACAGGCCATGGAGATAAAGAATTTTGGACATCAGCTACAAAATTAAATGATGATAAAACTTATTATTGGATGGGAAATGGCGAATTGGTAACGTATTTTAATTGGGCTGCAGGACGACCGGATAATCTTCTATTGGGCGGTGTATACGAAAATTGCATTCATATTATTCACAAATGGGCTGGCGATGGCAATGCTTATTATTGGAATGATGCGACTTGTAATCGGGATTTTCATTTTATTTGTGAACAAGAACGCATTGAATACGAATATTGTTTGAACCAGCAACCGTTTTGATACAGAAATGAGTTTTGTTCAAAATTTTTGTTTGAATGATTTAAAATTATTGATCGTAAATTATGATTCATAACTGCAGTTCACAAACCTCGAATGCTTCGAACTATGATAAATTGATTGTAGGGAAATATGCAGATTTTTTAAGAATCACAGCTGCATTTTGGATAACAATGAAAAATACTATTAACTGCCTAAAAGCAGTTTGGGTTGAAACTAATCACAATAAAATCCAATTTTTAAACATATTTTTTCGACGATTTTTTTTCACTTTCATGTATTGAATGAATTCATGGATCAATTCATGGTTTGTGTTGAAAACTTACCTTTCATTATTACTTGTCTATAAAAAAAAACGAAAGAAAGCATTGCTTCTGTAGTTCATATACCCTATTAACTCGTATTTAATGCATTTGGGACGGAACATTTGCTCTAGCGAGAGATATCAGTTTTTGTTTTTGAAGCATTTGCGTACAAAAGCTGTTTGCACCACAAACGGTCAATACACACACAGTGAGTTCACACACCAACTGATACTTTGTTG